TAGTTACTATAGTAAAAACATGGTTAATTAACATGGTTAATTTAATGAGTTAACACATACACATGCGAGTTCACACAGAATAAAAACTATAAATTTTCTCTGTCATGTAGATCAAGGTGTAGGTCATTTTTATTTACCGTATGCCGATCATTTATCTTCTGTGATCTTTGATCGTATAGCGCTCAGCCTACGTAAGGCTTCATATACAGTTGTCTATTTAAAATCAATGTGGTGAACAAACAGATGATCACACCACACTATAAATATGTGTTTTTTCGTCTTTTATTATCTTATTTGCCTTTTTAGAGCACTTTTAGCTGTGCAGTAGCGCAGACGTTTACATTAGTTTAGCGGCGAAGGTCCCGAGGTTGCCATATTTTTTCGTACAAAAACATCAGCCAAATATGCATTCAAAGCTAGGCGGAAAACTGCAGGCTTAGAAATACTGTAAGACTTGGCAACACTGGAAGGTCCTGGCAGATCGCAGGCCGGATTTTCGCAGAAAAAAGGGATCAGTGAATCTGAAAATGCACACACTGGAAAAACTGGTACATATAACGACTTTCTACTTGGGGACCTTGATATAAATGTAGCGGTCAGCAATAATCTGCCATGGTTCTTCTTTAAAATGAGACCAAACTTAACTCTGTGCTCCCAAGCTTCAAATATTTATGACAGTTTTTTGACATGGACATTTTTGTCCACTATGGACCTATGTGTAACTTTTTTTAAGTGACGCACAAGGGTTAAGTACAATACTCAAGTAAATGTACTTCGTTACTGTCCACCTCTGGTCTTGGGCGCCCAAGTCTGATGCACTTGAGAATCAAAGGCTATCCAATCTGGTTCAATCACCCAGAAAATCTGCTGCAGCTCAAATCGCTGAAAAACTTAATGCTGGCCATGATAGAAAGGTGTCAAAACACATAGTGCATTGCAGTTTACTACACATGGGGCTATATAGGGGCAGACCGGTCAGAGTGCCCATGATGACCCCTGTTTTCCACTGAAAGTATCTACAATGAGCACATGAGCATCAGAACTGGACCATGAAACAACGGAAGAAGGATGCCTGTTTTAATGAATCATGTTGAGATCAGGTAAATGGTTGAGTGTGTGCGTTGTTTACCTGGGAAAGAGATGGCAGCAGGATGAACTATGGGAAGAAGGCAGGCCGGCTCTGAGCAATGTTCTGCTGGGACACCTTGGGACCTGGCATTCATGTGGATGTTAGTTTGACACGTCCTGTACCACCAACCTAAAGATTGCTGCAGACCACATACAGGCCTTTATGGCAGTAGTGTTCCCTGATGGCAGAGGCCTCTCTCACAGAATAATGCTCCCTGTCAAACTGCAAAAATTGCTCAGGAACATGACAAAGAGTTCAGGGTGTTGCCTGGCCTCAATATTCCCCAGATCTCAATCTCGTTATGCATCTTTGGGATGTGCTGGACCAACAAATCCAATCCATGGAGGCCACCTCGCAACTTGCAGGACTTAAAGGATCTGCTGCTAATGTCTTGGTGTCCACAGGACACAACAGGACACATTCAGAGGTCTTGTGGCATCTATGGCTCAAATCATCAGAGCTATTTTGGCAGCATGAGGGGGACCTACACAATATTAGGTAGGTGGTTTTAATGTTCTGGCTGTTTAGTGTATAACTCTACACTTGTATTATAAGTCAATCATTGTATACTTTTGTATATAATTTTTTATTTCTATTTTTTATTAGGCTAAATATCTGAGACAAAGTTAATACAAGGTGTCCTGAGCTATAGAAGAGCAACCAAATATACAAGTAACGTCAACCCTCTGTTGCTTTATCATTTTAATAATTTAATTGCCATCGAAAAAGTGCAAATAAATTAATCAATTAAAAAGCAATTATAATTACTATGCACTTTGTTATTGTGTCTTACATGAAAGTGCATTTGCATCGAATGCAGCATCCATAGCAGGATTTTGCAGTCCATCTCTGATATTCTCTTTAGAAGAGGATTTTGGAAGGAAATAAGAGAGAGCTGTGTAAGTCTACTTGAATGAGGGATGCTTTACAGCAGTGGGGAAAGCACTCAGGGCCTTGTCGGATGTTGTGTAACACATACAAATAGCCATGCCAAACACTCATTAATTTGATTGGCCTTCACCATGAAGAATAAAAGCCACCTGGCTCATTTTGTTTTAAAAAAGAAAAATGCTAATGTTGTGGTGACTCGCTTGCTGGATGCTCGTTTTTACCCGTTGGATCCATTTATGTTTGTATAAACGGTTATTACATTGAAAGGAAGACAACTTTTCATTGTGCATGTTAAATTCAAAGTGAGTGAAAGTTAGTTACTTGGAGGCGATAAACACAATGAATGCCTGAGTCAGTGAGAGGCTGGTTTATGTGACGCCTTGCACACTTCCATTAAGACAATAGAATGCAATGTTTTAGCAAGGAACAATGTCTCTGCCATTCATCAGGAGATGTGTTTAGGTAGAGTGGAAGAGAGTGGAGCAGGGATCAGTGAAGACCGCAGCAGAGAGTTAAGAGTTATTTGACAGGGTGACTTGCATTTGACTAATGAAATGAACCGTGAGTTGTACGCCAGCTGTGCTCAGTTGGTGATGCTAGCGAGAGTAATGTGTTTTTCAGCTGGAATTGGGCCTATCCTATTGTGAAGAATACATTACAGGTCATGACACCCGTGGGATCCTGGAGTGTTTAGCTGAGACACAACCGTCATGCAGCTGCCTGGTGTTAGTGCACTTGAATAAAACAAAAACAAAGTGCCTTTGAGATGTAAAAACCTAAAGAACTTTTTTTTTTTTTTTTTTAAAGAAACAACTTTTATTTCAACTGTGTTTGCAACATACCAATGTTTGTTTTTTTTCTTTTGAAATTTTATAAATGAATGTCTTATCTTGACCACCATACCTTTAATAAAAATAAACATTATTAGAGGTGACTAACAACAACTATGGTAA